CCCCCAAAACCCCAAAACCCCTTTAGACTCTATTTATTCAATTACTTAGGTTTAATGAAATTAATATATAAATTTTATTATAATTCAAATCATATTTTCAAGTTAAAACGTAAGGTGTCCCTATTTTAAGGTTCACATCTATATATTTTTTTTTCTCTGAAAAATGTAACTCTTTGCTCTTTCTGATCTGTCTATTTAGTTTGTCAAGTTAGGTGTAGGTATTATAATTTATTTTGGGCTTGAGATTCTAGTAGCTGCCGCTGCTCTATTATTGTTAAGCATTCATTCTATTGAGGATGATATTTTCAAGCAAAAGCTTTTTCTTTGAGATGACATCATTCCCATTGGCATCTGAATACTTTCCTAATATATTATTGATTGAATAGTCATTTCTTTGGCTCTTGCCTTCTTTTTCTTCATCAATGCGGATCAAACCACTATAGCTGTGATTATTATCAAAAATTCTAGAGATATCTTCTCCTAGAGTGATTGTGTTATTGTTAAATTTGTCTGGACTGTAGCTACGATTTTTAGACTTGAAATTTTGATAATTTTTATCAGTGGTATGAGTATCTTTACTGCTCTGATCTTCCATAAAACTTAGCAATAGACTTTTTAATTCTCTTCTTTTCTTAGTATCAACCTTAATGTTTTAAGTCGTAAGGTTGTTTAACTTTTAGAATAGAGGTGGCTTATGCTTTTTGGAAGTAACATTATGGGATTTGTTAGAGTTTTCATTTTCATTTTTATAGATATGCTTTAGTTGATGCTTCCAATTAGCATTTTAGATGTCTCTTTTATACTATATTTCAGATGTATCATTAATCGATGGGCCAGTAAAGAAATTTTTACTTGTCTCATTTCCTACAATCTTCTAATTTTAAAGAGATAATTAAGTGTTTCTAAAAGGAGAGGGAGATTTATTAGCGTTGCTGTAAATAGTATTGTTTGAAATCATCTATGACTTTATTTTCTTTACTTCCTTGCTCACATTTATTTTCTTTAAGACATTATATGATTTCTTGAATTTATCATAATCATTCAAGAGTATTGCTACTAGAAATTCTTAAGGGTCTGTAATAATCCATGTTTGAAATTTTTCTTTCAATAGTATTTAAGTGATTCTTTCATATTATTCTTGATTAATATCAAGTTATACTGTTATATATCGTTGAAGAAACTAAAATTTCAGTATTTATTAAAGAAATACTTACAGATTTAAGATAAAAGTAGCTGTTTGAAATGTCTATTAGTATCTATCTTCTGACCTTCTCAAGGTCCTTGATGAATCTATCTTACTTAAATTTGATAGAATCAAGTTTTTTATTACTAGCGGCCTTATTACCTTTCTTGTCTCGATCTTCCTCTTATTACTGTTACATCGCTATCCTTTAAGCTTCTTACAATACTTTCTAATCTTACTCTAGCTTTACCTATTACTTGAATCTACAGTAAGGTAAAATAAGGTATATCTTACAGATCTTTACTCTGGTTGAGAAGTTTAGAGAGTGATATTTTCTCAAAGGGAGGAGCATGATCCTCATAAACGATTTCTTCTGGTTATATAATGAGATCATTATTTCCCTTATTTTTATTTTCAACAGTAACTATCATTGGATTTAGATGGCTATAAGAGTTTCTCAAAAATGAGCCTTAATTACTCTTGCTGAGATTTAAGTTGGCTTTAGTTAAGTGATCTACCTTTCTATTGTATATTTATATAAATTAGGTTTTAGGTTACTTTAAAAATGAGATGTCTAAATCATATTAGTTATTCTTATTGATCTCCTTGATGTCATCACTAGTGATATTTTAAGAGTTATCTATATAAAGTAAAATATTGAGGAATTCTTTACCTTGCTTGTCAAGATTATTGAAAATAGTACTGTTAGTCAATCTACCCTCTGATTAATCTCCTCTCTTAGAAATTAAATGCTCTGAAGATGTCTAGTCAACAGCATATATTTGAACTTCTGCAAATTCATCGTTATTAAAGTCAGTTTAAATCTCTTGGCTAGGTGGTCCATTGAACAATGGAGTTGGGTTAGTAACTGTGTTTTTCTTATTAAATGTTTCAAAATTAGACATTTTCATGCTAACATAGTCCTGGCTAATTCTCAGAGTGTCTAGAACATTTGACTCTTCTTATTTATAGATATGCATCTTGAATACATCTATTTAAGGCTAGGCTTTGTTTGTGTTATCCACAGATGAATCACCATGCATATTAGGACTTTCAATCAACGATTAATCATTTCCTAGAGTTACTTGGCTTGGTAAAGAATTCTTTCTAATTTGAATGTATTCATTGGAATCTCTAAGATTCTCAAGACTGTACAAGCTGTGCAATATATCAGGGTTACCATTTTCACCTAGATTGTTTTGATAGTACTCTTAGTATGGGGTAAATATTTTTTAACCATTCTGTGGAGTATCTGCATTAAACTTAACTTCAAGTTGAAATTGTGAGCTAACTCCTGATTTATTATGGGCACCTTGATTATTGCCTTAATTGTTCTAAGATGTCTATGAATCATTAGAGATAAATCTATTGCCCATATTAGTTGAATTAAGCAGAGAAATTTCCCCACCTCCAGATTTGAGGACTCTTGGAATCACATTAGAGATTCTGATTTGCTTATACTCTTGCTTTTAATTCTAATGATTATTGCTTTTATTATTACTAAAGTCGTATCCTCGTTTATTCCGGATTGCAAGTCCACTGGCTTTATTTATCACAGTAAGAATACTTCTGGTTCTGTTGTTATTTGGCGATGTACTTCTATACTCTTAATATTGTTGCTGGTTGCCCCTATTTTAATAGCAATGATCATTCTAGTTCTTATCTAAATCTATCAATGACTTAATCTGCTGCTTAGTTGGTTTTATTTTATGAATGGATAGTGTTTACAAGATTTCTCTCTGTTAATAATGCTGTTACTCTGTTTAAATTGAGCCTCAGACATGTTAATTCAACCTAGAATTGTTTGAGTTTCTTATTTTCTTGCTAGAAATGCTTCTTTGCTCATCTTTAGTGCCTAGTAGTTTGGCATTATAAAAGTTCTTCTGAGTAGAACTTGGATTAGGTAGCCTCGGCTTTTGCAGACTTGATTGTCGTCCTTTCTGATTGGGCGTTTATTCATGAGTTTGCTATGCACTGTCTTCTCTGATGGTACTTGTCTACCAATATTAAGCGTTATTCGAAATGAAATTCCTGCCGACCTTACGAACTCTCACCTGCTCTAAAATGATAAAATGTTCAAATTACTTGGAGGTGGGGGTTTATTCTTGATTTCTCCAAAATTCTATTAAGTTGAATACAGCATATTGATGCTCTTTGGCTGATTTATTTACATTTTACAATAAGATTGTTTATTTCAATAAAGACCGAAATTATTATTATTTAAATCTAGTTTCAATCTATCCAATCTGCATAATACCTTGCGGGGTTTTGGGGTTTTGGGGTTTTGGGG